AAAAACTGGAAAAAAACAGTTAATAAACAACAACAATAAACCTCAATAGTAATAGGAGATCTAAAAAAAATACATTTAGCAGCTAAGCATTAATGAAGATACCCTAGATCCTGACCTCTATTTCCTCAGAAGTGGTAGGAAGTGTCTGGCTGTTTATTTCCAAAGAACGAGCACACACATGCAGCTATAAAGGGTTAAGAAATAACTACGGTTAAGATACAACTAGTTTTATGATTGGAAGTAAAACTAAACGTTAAGTAATGCAGACAAGATAATGACCGTTAAAATAAAATTAAAAATACACTCATGCCGATCTACCGCTATTAATAACATATACGGAAAAAGGGCATGCAACAAGTTTTGCATGTGGCAGAACAAAGATACAAAGAAACCTTCAAACATATTATTTAACTAACTAGAAGTTACTGGACAAATATAACTAAAAATGTCTTTGTAGTTACTAAAAAACTGAAAAGCAAACCTGTTTTTGTTTCAAACCTTGCCCGCCACGACGAACCACGTTAGATTCAGCAAAGTTTACTGTTGACATTTGCGAGGTAGAGGAATGATTAACACTGGTTAAGGCCTTCCGTAATTCTCTACGCCTTTTCATCTCGAGTTTTTCAGCAAGAAGCGGTTTGTGTTTCAGCCATAACAGCTGCCGACTGTAGGCCATTTTAGCCATAGAAGCCTAAGAAAAATGTATATTTCTTTCAAACGAAAAGTTCTGAGGCCACAAAAACCAGAAATTTGAAGTGAAATATAAATGAATAATGCAGTAAACTCTATTCAGAAACAACCTTAGTCTGAGGCAGATCCATCGCGCTGCGTGGGCATGTTAATCTAGTGGCTGTTAACGAAGAAGATAGAATTGGAGAGCGATGGGGATTTGGAGGGCGCAAAATTCCGCACGTCAAACGTTCATACACATTCATTGCCGGACGTTTAACCTGCATAAAAAAGGTCTCAAAAGACAGTTTCAAATACTACAGTATCAATTTATAAAATTGCTACACAACTAACCGGAATATTGGTTTCACCACTTTTCTTTGAAGTGCTTTCCCTCAACGACCCGTTAACAAATTTTTTTGCCTTGCATCGGCTTTTCACAACACACCATTCTCCATCTTGGGTTGTTTCACCTGAAAACCACTAGTTCAT